TTGTGGGCAGACAGGCAGGCGCAAACCGAAATGGCAACGACGAAATCGAGGCGAGTGCGAATGGACAAAGACGAGAGTTGTGATGGCGAGGACGACGGCTATGGCGAAGAGGAGGAGAGAGAGACATGGCGAGTGAGAGCGAGAGAGCAAAAGATAGCGAAATTTGACGAGTAGCCAGCAAATGGGGTTGCATTCGTCGATGGCCGAATGGCGACTGAGGGCGGATACGTGATTGCCGGCCTGTGGTTGGAGTAGGCCAGACTAGATGTTGTTATCAGACAGAATGAGTGAATGGTCCGGCTGCCACGGGGTGGAGTAAGCTGCGGTATCTGCTTGTTTCCTGGCCAGAATCCCTCCACCTCGTGTGTGATTGCCGTCCTGCCCCAGTTCCATAATGTAATGCCGTCGCCTCGGCCAACCAGGCGAAAAGCGCCTTCCCTCTTAAGCGTCCGGTCGGCCGAGCGACGAGCATGCTGTCACATGTACCCTCGTGCCCGCTCTTACGAAATGCGTCCTGTCGACGCACCAACCAACGTCGCTTGCGGACTTTGTGGTTGAGGCAAGTAGCAGACGAACACCCATCGCCTGTAGACCCGACAACTGGCAACCCGCTTGGTACCCGCCCTCAGTTGAGCCTCCCTTCTTAATCCCATTGCCCAGCACTGCTCGAAAGAAGTGGCGTTAAGCTGACAACAGGTTGAATGGGTTGGGCACAAAAGGACTAAAAAAGGAAGGAGAGATGGGAGCAGATAGCAAGCCAGACCGAACCGTGTTGCAAGTCGTCAGGTAAACAGGTGATCTGAAGTAAAGGCGTAAAGGTGGCGGCTGGCATTCACTTCTCAAAGCGTTCACTAAAGGCAGACGGATCAGAAAGATCCCGTCGCCGATTTGCAGATTTTGTTGCATTCACTTTCCCTGAAGACTTCGTTCGACATCAAATATGTGAAGGATAGCTACATTTTTCGTTTTACCAGTCGATTTCTGGGACTATTCACCCTCAGTCGAAAGTGTAGTCCACCTCGGATGAGAATGGCTTTTGGGAAAGCAGAGATAAACGAAATCCAATGGAAACGTAAGGTCAACTCATTTCATTATGAGATAATTAGACAATCAGTCCCCTTATCACCCTAAACGAAATACGTTGAATACAGCTAATATAAATGGTCTACAGGTAGTCTCAAAACCTACTTGCATTTTTTTGTTGATACAAAGAGTAAGTGGATTTTGAAGAATCTCTTAAGATAACATTGTTAGACAGACTTGCAGCTCGTATAAAAGCCCATTATGAAGAGATTCGGTAGTAATCTTTCCAGAAGATGGCATCAGATTCCCGTTGTTGTTATGCTGTATATTTTTATACGACGTAGTCCACGAGACATGGGGTGAAGAGGGTCTGAGCAATCGTCCATCATATGATGGACGTGATCAGAGCCGTAACTCATTCTTGTAAAAGTCTAACCTTAACGCTAGGCTAGATAGACTGTCTTATATGAATCCGTAACTAAAAAATGAGCAGATATATGCATAGATAGATATAGAATAATTTGGCTAATTTCTTTTCATAATGGTCATGACATTTTTACCTGAAGGTGTGTGTTTATGTGTGTATTTATGTAACGGTTCTGACTAAAAGCGATTAATAAAGCTAAATCCCAGGTTATGGTAATCAAGGCTTAATCATCCAAAAACAGTCTGCTTGACCCTGTGGTAACTTAAGAATTTTACAAGAAGCCTTGTAGATATGAAGACCAATATGGTGGGGCTTTCTGTATCGTCGCCTTTACAGAAAGAAGTTCCCGCTCTGCTGATATCCAAAATATTACATTAAGCTCTTGAAACAAACCAGAGATGTCAGATTACGCAACCCCAGTCTTGCTTTTCCTTGAAGAGTTAAAC